GCAGCCCATGAAGCTGAAGAGGCAAGGAACTAGATTCTCTTCGCAAAGCTCCAGAGGGAGCGCTCCCCTGTTGACACCTTGATTTTGGTCCAGTGAAGCTGATTTTGGGTTTCTGACCCACAGAGCTGTAAGCATATAAATATGTGTTGCGTTTAGCCACCCAGTTTGTTGCCATTTATTACAGCAGCCCTAGGAAACTAAGACAGATTTCTTTGGCTGTCTTGATAAAAGTCTTGATAGAAGAAGACTTCTAGAGGACTTCTGATATAGAGAAGCTGAGATCCGCTACATGACAAGAGTCAAATTCTGGTCCCAAAAAGAGTGGGGTTGGAGGGACGGGCAAGGAGTGATATTCTGAACCAAGATTTGCTTGCATGTGGCTACCTTATTGTACAGGGTGAAGGGAACAGTCCTGGGCAGAGTGCAAAGTTGCACCTTGATGCACCGAGGCCCCAGCCCATCCCACAGGGAGCCCTGAAATTGAAGTGGACCTTCAAAGATGTTCTGATTTGAGTGAAGGCTAACCCTTTTGTAGCCCACTTTGGCTACTTTGAGATGCGGGATATTCCCAGGGGATGGAACTGTAATCTTGAGAGAGGCAGCTACCTTTATCAAAGGCGATCCCTGGGGAGGGATCGCCAGCCATGGGCCATGAGTAGGCAGCACTCTTGGCAGCTGGGAGAGTGTGTGCTTGGTGGTGAGATGGGGGTCAGGGAAGTGCACCTTAGCAACTGCTGGACCCTGGGAGAGCCACCAACACAATTTTATCTGATTAAGTTCCTGAGACTGAGATGTAAGGGACATTTCTTACTGACCCTAACCTCAGGCCATTCCTTCAGAGCCACAGTCCAAGTTCTGTGTATTCTTTTAGAAGTCTGCTGACAGCAGCTCAGGGCATCTTGGGCAAAGATACTGACATAATTGTAATTGGTTTGGTCTGGAACTGAGGTTTGAAAATAAACCTCCCAATGGGCTGTTTGGAAAGCCTTCTGAGAAAACCCCTGAAAAATATCATAGCCCCTTGTGCCATTGGTCAGGATTGTTTTGGCCCGGTTTTCTGGGATTCACACTCTACCCTGGCTGACAAATGAAGCGATGTGGAAAACACAGGGAACTCAGAGCCAAATCCTGTCCCCACCATCACCCCACACCAGGCACAGCCAACTCTGGCTTCATACTCTTATGCTGAGGCTCCAGGGCAAAGTAGGATTGAAGCTGATTTTCAGGGAGCCCATCCTTTGAGAGACCCACTGTCAGAAGAACAATCTTAAACAAACTGCAGGCCTTTCATTCTGGTCTTTTGTTGCTCTAAATCCAACTGAATGGGCTTGCTGCACCCACATGCCTGCTTAAGTACTGCTCTGAGCATAATTTAGTGATGTTTTGGAGACACAGAATCATGCAGGGGCCTGGGCGCATCACTCTGAACTTATGAGCATGAGGGTCTGAGATCCTGTCCTACTTCTGATACCTCTCGACCTTGGGTGAGGCACTGTTCTCTGAACCTGCTTTCTTTCCCTTTAGACAGAGTTGAATAAAATAAGCTCTACAATTCTGTCCCATCTTAATGTTCAAGAAATCTGTGGTCCTCTTACAGACATGGAGGTTGCAGAAAATGACATGCATTTGTACAGATGCTAGCACATCCTAGAATCTGCTTTGTTTGAAGCAAATTCCTGCTATCAGATTTCTTTCAAATGGATGAATATATGAATATATCATGCTTATTTGCATTGGCTGCTTTTGCTCAAAAACAGCCACTCCATATTCACTTGTGTCACTAAAATAGAGCCCTTTCATCAGCCTGTAAACTTCCAGGGGCTTGCATATGAGTGGCCATTACATTTTTTTTTAACCCACAGGATTATTTTTGAAGTTTAGCAATATGATAGGACAAAAAGCCTGCTGTTTATTTGTCAGAATGTTTACATTGCAATGTGTGCCAGCCGTTCACCTTGTGACACTGGCAAGTCATTTAATCCCACTGGGTTGCTGATAGGGATGGTGGTGAAGGTCAGTCCTGCCTACCTCACATGCTAACTGGGAATATCAAGTGAAACCGAATTCATGAGACAACTCTGGAACCTGGAAAGTGTATCAACATTTTAAGCAATTGTTACTATTACTTTAACAGCTTCAAAGCCACACATGAGGAATCTATTCTATCAGCTACGGTTTGCTTGGAAAAACCCTTCCCTTTTCAAAGCAGAGGTTTTCCGGCAGTGTTGTTGGACTATAAACAGAGTGAGTACAAAGATTTATTTTGCCAGCTTCTGAGGCTCCCAAGAGAATGATTCCCAGCAGTAAAAGTTGCTAAAACGGTTTGTGAGGTCACCTGCTCTTAGCAACTGCAATCGGTAGACAAGGAAGTAACCCACAATCCAACCAGAAGATTAATGCTCCCAAGGGGCTTTACAGCTGCAGGGGATGATAGTTCCTGCAACCCAAAGAGTCGGGAGCCCCTGCTTCTGCATCAGAATAGGCGGTTCTGTTAGCTTCTCACAACACACTCAGTCATGTGGCTCTTTTGGCTGCAAGGATGACTGCAAAGGTGAATTCTGTCACAGTACAAAAATCACAATCCTTAAGACTTTTCTATTCCTACTGTGCAAACTATCTTCCTTCAAGAACCCAGCAGGCCCACAGAGCAGGTAGAAAGCTTTGTGCCAAGGGGCCAAGTGGAAGTCTGGCCGTCCACAGCAAGTCCACCTTTTTTCTTCTCCCAAGCTTGTCTCTCAGAGAAAAATCCACCAATGAAAGCCCATGAATCCCACACGAAGATATTTATTGCTGTAAGTGCAGCATGCTTCTGCTTCGTCGCGTTACAAACTCTTGACTCGCACTGCTCTTTGAAGAGATGACTGAGGAAGTGCAGAAAGCCAATTGAAAAGAACCTCTACAAGCCAGCGAGAAGGAAGTGCAAACCAGGCCAAGATTGGAAGGACTTACAAAAGTTCTGCTTTTACTGATTTATTTATTGAGTTTCCAGTTTCCTCTTCCTACTCTTGGGAAATAGTGATGCTCAGTGCTTCTGTTTGGATGGAAACCAGCATGGAAGGTCTGAAGTGGCCAAGCTGGAGGCTCGGTTCAGTCAGGATGGACAGGCCTCACACACAGCCAGAAGAAACTGGTGTGGGGTCAGAGTCTTCCTGGGAACACATATGTAGGGGCAACAGGTCTATGGGAACACGGTGCAGTGTTAGGTCTGAGTCCAGGGCGGCTGATTGGCAGCCCCACTCACTGTGCAACTGAGCATGACAGCTGAATGCAGAAGAGGGGCCCAGGGTGAAGGCCTGTCTTTCCTTCCTCCTGGCAGAGGTGGGCTGGCAGGCACGTGCCGCTCTCTCCTCTATGAGGCAGAGCTTTGCAGGTGCTTGTGATTACAGAGCCAGCAAGTGTTAGGTCTTCGGGGAGGTTCTTAACGGTCTGAATGTCAGTTGCTTGTGGCTTCCCATTTTTCTTCAGTAAATAACTAGAGTATCACAAAATGAAAGGTAACACATGGACCCACTTGCGCTGTCCTGTTCTGAATTTCACATACACATACACATGCACACACAGACACTCACAGAGTGTACCGCCAACCCGGGGGATTACCTGGACACACCATAACACAGACACAGCCTCATAAACCCATCCTCACGCTCCTTTCCACATAGACCTTCACGTCTCTGAGGTTAGAGGAGGCTTACACCTCTAAGAATAGAGCTTAGCTGTGTTTTCAAACATCACAGCTCATAAAGGAGCATTCATTTTGGAAAATGGGAGTAGCCAAGCTCACAGGAATTCAGGTTTGAAGTAATACAAATTTTAAAAACAGTTGATTGTTTTTTAAATTTTCCTGAGATTTGTTATGGTGTGTGATTGCGAAATAGCCCTGCCAGGGGCACTGAGGTGGATTTGCTTTCCTCACTAGTTTTTCCAGGATAAAAGTGAAATGTATAGCATGCCAGGCAGGAAGAAGCCAGTCCAGGTGGCCCTCGTTAAACTGCTCTTTCTTGCTACTGTACCAAGAATCTTGATTCAATTGTCAGCAAGACTGTCCTGCCCAGATACTTCATGCTAAAAATATCCTGCAGGGTTCTTTAAGCCATGACTTTATAAAGGCAACAAAAAAAGCCAACTGAGAATGAATGACTCCAAGTATGAAATGAGAATTATGTACACTTTGTTACGGAGTTAACCTTAACACATTTCTAGGTCCCACAAGCCACAGATCATAGGAAACATAGTTCTGGCACCAGTTTCCACATCCTTTTGATTGAAGACTTGTTTATCGACAAATGTCTTTACCCAGTACTGCTCAGATCTTTTTTCCTTTCATGGTCCCAGTTCTCATATATTTGCTGCCTTCTCCTGAGTCCCTTATCATTTACATTCTGAGCCTGTTTATATTGATGAAGAAGAGAAACTGTGATGTGTTCTCCCAATTTCTCCTGAGCATGGGAAAGTTCATTTCCCAACCTCCCTAGCTATAGGAACCTTTCACAGAGCCTGGCCAAAGAAGGGGTGATGGACATCACCTCCATGACCGCATCGAACTCAGTCATCCTTACCTCCCCCCCTCAAATAGCCACCACCTACCTGATCACGACACAGGTGAAAAATAAACCTTGACTGTGTTACTCCAGTGAGATCTGAGCACTCAGAACAGACTTTCTTACATCAAAGTTAGAAATACTTTGAAAAATTTTTAGTTTCTCTAATATGGCCCAAAGTTCAGACTTTAAGTGAATTTCTTATAAACTATATTTCCCTAGAGTTGTTCTCATCAATACAATTCCCTTTATCTGGTGTTCCTAGCATGATCTCACTGTATACAATGCTAGCATTCACTGTTCTATTCTATTGCCTGAGTTGCATTGCATGGGAGGAGTTTCAAATAACTCACAGAATTTTGATGCACACAATTTGAACAACTGTTATCCACTGTAAAAAAATCATTCTGCTCTGGTCCTTCCTGGGAAGCACTATCAAACATTCTCAAAGCTCAGACTTACCTCTTCCCATTTTGGAGAGTGAGTCACACAGACTGTAGGCAAGTCTAGAAGACATGAGTCTTCTAATATCTCCTTTGTTTGAAGATATTTTTTATGCTCAAGAGATCCCCTCTGTTCATCTTCCACATCTATGGAGCATCCAGACAAGTTCCAAATAGCAAGGCAGTCCCTGACTGTCCACAGAGTCCTCTCCAGGGTTCAGTAGGTTTAAGATCAGTTCATTTGTTCTTGAGAAGTGGAGAGAAAGAACAATAGAGATTAGTGGAGAAAGCATAAGATTAGGTTACCAATCTTGACTCTTCCACCAACAAATGGGCTCTGTTCCTCTACATCCTCACCTATATAAACTGTGCAGGAAGTAGTGCTTTCTCTTGCTAACCTGACAGAGTTCTTTCATTGTCACAGAACAGAACATATATGTAGGAATATGGGGACATTACATTGGGGAAAATATAAGGAATTATTTAAAGAAAACTCATGTATAGTCAGATAGTTGTGAATCATGGGCTGACCAAACTGACCAGAAAGGGTTACTCTTTGAAAATTCTCTTGGGGGCCATGTGATGATTTCCCCATTATAGTACACATAGAAAGTATGATGCAATGGTTTATGAGTAGGGTACCTTTCTTGCTAACTGGTCAGACTGTAGATCTTGGACAGTTTCAATGTTTACTGAAGAGCATTAGGGTTAAGTTTATTTATGTCATAAACTCTTAAAGCCTTCATTAGATAATTCCATGCCTTGGAATTTATCCTATAAGTAGATAACATGAGAAGTCACACATGTTAGGGGCTATTCACTGTTTGGGACAGCAAAAGATTAGAAGCACCTAGCTTTGCAATACTGGGGTTTGTTACTGTAAATCAACTGTGAAACATCCAAGCACTGGAAAAACAGGCAGCTAGGAAAGATGGAACACTGATACATGAATATGAAACATTCCCCAAGAAATTTTATTAAGCTAAAAGGTAAATTGCAGGACAGTATATCAAATATGATGCCATTTGTGTCAAAAAAAATTCATGTATTTCCTTGTGTAATATACAATATCCCTGGAAGAATGTCAAAATGCTAGTACTCTTGTTCGCCTCTGGAGAATAGATAGGATTGACTAGAGAACAGACTATAGAAGGGCCATTTGTGTCTTTTAAATTTAAAACCACATGAATATATTAACTGTTCAAAACAAAACAAAAAGCAAGATTAGATCCAGTTTATTGAAACATGTATTTAGGCAGGCATGTATATATGTATTTTTTGAATAATATATATGTATATGTACATATAAATATAAATGAAATTATATAATTTTCACCATTTTAATGTATGGCAAATTTATTAAGACAAAAAAGAGAGCCTCCCTGGTGGCGCAAGGGTTTAAGATGCAACCTATGAAGCTCTCTGCAGCCTCTGCTGCTCGAGTTCAATCCCTGGCCACAGAGCTACCCACATGGCGCAGCAGACCTCTTCTATATCCCCCCGCTGCTCCCCTCAGCAGTGTACTTCAGTCAATCTGCCTGTTCTGCTCCCCACTCTGTCTCTGCAGGTGGATCCTCTCACCCCCCACACCTCTTGCCTGTACCCCAGTTCTTGTATGCATAAATAACTAAATCTTTAAAAAAAAAAAGACAAAAAGAGAGGCGCCTGCATAGGTCAATGTTTGGGCCACTATAAAGCAGTATGCTAACCTGTAGATTTAGAGAAACTGTATTATCTATAAGTTCTCTGCCTGCGCTGCCCGGAAACCTTGAATCAAGTTCAATACAAGCAAGGTTGTTAGGAAAGAGGACCAGGCCTGGGGCATGTTTGGATCCTAACAAGGAGGGGCAGAGAGAGTCCCTCCTGAGGCAGCGTGGGGAAAGCATTAAACAAAAAACCACCATGGTCCACAGAGCAGCAGAGCAGCCATCCCTCCCGGTCATGTGCAGCTTAGAGGCTGGGCCAGGGTGGCTTGGCGAGGAAGTACTGTTATTGGACAGACACTGGATGCCCCCATAGGGGAGTCTCTGAAATAACTGGGAGAAGCTCTACTGGCGAAAGTGGTGGCCAAAGTGCTAGTGTGGCAATTTAATGAAAATTGCAGGCTTTAATCAGGTCATGATAAATCATTCCCCACTGTCAGTGGGTTCTCACCCTTGTACTCACGGCGCAATAGGGTTTATTAACCAACAGAAGCGTGGGAACAGGAAAGTTCCTAAGGCCCACAAGAGGCCGGCTGGCTCACCCCAGACAGTGTCCGCAGTATCCAAAACAAAGGCTGTTCGTGCAAGATGGCACCGTCCCTTCTGTGAGTCCTGGAGCCAGCGGCTCCCCGGATGACGGTGGAGGAAGATTCAACTCACGTGGCAGCCGAGGTGCTCACCGCGGCAGGTGGCTGCACCACAGCTGCCACCAACACCTGTTTGAATTCGGGCTGGCCAGTGCCAGCCACAGGACCAGAGAGCACCAGAGGCCACAGCACCAGGAGGCGGAGCTGGAGGACCAGAAGCAGGAGCCGGATACAGGCTCAGAGGGAGCCGGAAACAGGTCAGCAGCGCCCTGGGGCAGGAACTAGCGCCCCAGTCCTTTGAGAACCCAGGCCAGTGGGCACAGGCTAGTGGTGCCAGTCAGCAGGGGACACCCGCGGCAGGGCCCGAGGCAGCAGCAGGGTTAGGCTGCAGCTGGCAGCAGAGGTCTCGGAGGTCTCCGAAGGTTTCCGAAGTTCTTCCGAGGAGGACCGAATGAGTCTTCCCAGCAAGTCAGCCTCTGAAGGTCTGAATGACTCTTAGCCTTCTGGAGCTTCGGCTTATATGCCGTGCCTTTCAAATCTGACTGGCCCATTTTCGATTCCAGCTGCTGATTAGTATGGTCAAGCTCTGCTCAGATTGGTCCATTTATCAATTCTAGTGCCATTATCAAAAGGGAGGCCCTGTCTGTGCATCCAGACCCCACCAGCGCTGAAGTCAGGGCAGGTTGTCAGAGACGCTGCGCAGGGCCAAACTCTCACCCTAGTGGCCCTGAGCCAGGCTGACTGCCTGAGCTGGGGTTGGCCAGCAGACTTCATGCTCCGCAGGCCCTCACGCTCACCTAGCTCCACCGTAGCTGCAGCCACGTGGCTCCTGTTTCATTTCCTTTAGTGACTTGATCAAGCCACTGAGACCAAGCAGGTGGAATTCCCAGATTGGCCAGATATGAATCATATACCCCAAATTCTGACAGATTGGTGCCAGTTCCACCAGAGAGGTAACTAGTCCTCCCAAAAGAAAATGGGAAGAATACTGGAAAAATGGATGTGTGTCAAGTGAAACAAAAAAACCACGGTACCAATTTATATCAAAATGTTTTCATTGAAATATGTGCCCCTTATATTCTTTTTAGAACAAAATGGAATATTAATATATGGGGAATAAAATTATTATTTGTCAGTTGCTTAAGGTGCATTAAATCAGAACAAGGGGAATCAAATCACGTATATGATTCCAATACTTTATGCCTCCAGATGCTGAAGCTGTATCTCCTGTCTGCACAATGAGGAACAGGCAAGTCCCACTGGTCAGCACTGGAGCCATATTGCAGGTGCTTTCTTCCTGGTCTGTCCTTTTCCACAGCTACTGTTGTCTACCCATCCTGAACCTTCTTGGGTATGGTCATAACAGTCACTCCTTAGACAAGACTGGTGCCAGAATTCCTGTCTTCCCATTTTAGATCTAGAAGCTGATCTGTCATCCACTTGTCTCTGTGTACCTTTCATCTCATCTTTTATGAACTGATTTTGTAAAATCAGTAAAAGTGGTGCAATTCTCAGATCTTAAGGGGATGCTGAACCTACTTAATATTTGCAAGTAAAACCAAAGGACCCTTCTTTTCACAAAATGCTGTGCGCAAGGGATGGTGGTGGCAGGGGAAGCAGGAGGCATGCCTTTCGTTGGTGGTGGGGCAGAAGTTGCCATGAAATGGTTCAGAGCCTCAGGTGGGGAGTGGCAGAGACAAACCACTTACACTGGTTGTTCCGGTGCTCTCAGCATAAAAGTGTCACTCAAGCAGCTTCTCAGGAAATCATGGAGAAGGCATTGTAATTTCTCAGGGATCAACATGTCCTTGGATTCCTAAGGAAGCATGCAGCTTGAATAAACTAACATTTTGTAATAATCCATGTTAAGGTTAACTGAACCTCTACTTTTATTTTTTTTTAAAGATTTATTTATTTATGCAAACAAGAGCTGGGGTACAGGCCAGAGATGCAGGGAGTGAAAGAATTCACCAGAGACAGAGTGGGGAAAAGAACAGGCAGACTGGCTGAAATACACTGCTGAGGGGTACAGCGGGTCTGCTGTGCCATGTGGGTTGCTCCCTGGCCAGCCAGGAATCGAATCGTGCTGCAGAGGCTGCAGATTGCTTCATAGTGCAGTGCTTAACCCCTTGCACCACCAGTGAGGACCTGAACCTCCACTTTTACAAGAAGTCAGAAGCTGGATCCAGGGGGAAAATTTTTGAAAAAAAGGTGTTATCTGGGGGCTTCAGGACTATTGCTCCAGAGACAGCCCCTGAGTGGTATTCTGGGTTGACAGGGTTTGGGTGGGGCTTGTGTACTAAAAGGAAAAGGTAGGCTGGTTCTCACTCAGGTTCCATATGCAAATGAGGTTTGAGTAAGTCAGATTGCAACTAGTGCAGTAATATGCAAATCAGGTAAGGATGGAACAGTGATTGGGTGAGTTTTAACCCTGTCAGTCTGTGGCAGGTAGGCTTTATTTCAATTTCTTCTCCAAGGTGGACAGGACACCACTGTTTTGCCTGACTTGGGGGTGGGGGAAGGGTGCCTGGATGTGGCTGAGGTTGACTCTCAACAGCCTCTTGATTCTATTTCAGTTTTACCCAGATTCAAATGGCATCCATTTTATGTTTTCTTTCTTGCTTTCACCTGTTTCCTGTTCTCGCATCTAAAATTGAAAGGGGTAGAAATCAGGATAATAGGCATCCATCCGTATCACTCTATACCAGGAAGCTTCACAATTACCTGGAGTGTGGAGAGGACAAGCACTTTTTTCAGCTCAGTGAAGCCAGAGTTGTTATTTCCCAAGAAATAGGACCAACATAATCCTCCGAGGAGGCTGCATTAGGGTGGGTATTATCAGTAGAAATATAATTATCCTGCTGGCAAATAATGTGTTATTTTAGAATATTAAGGAGGAGAGTAATGGCAAACTGAAATGGAAGCTCACCTTTTCTTCCCTCCACCTCCCCCTGTTCATTTTGTGGGATCCCATCCCTGCACCCATGGAGCCAGAATTCATCATGCTCCTTCAGCTTCTACCTTCCACCCTGGAAGATCAGAGAGAACTGACTGGAGGAGAAAGAGTTGGAGCAGAAGGGAGGAACACTCTTTTCTGTGGCAAGAGGCAATTAGGAGGGGAACAAAGGCAGGAAGACAACCAGGTAATAAATCTCCTCTTCACCTCTACCCTGCAATGTTCAACTCCAGATCCTTCCGGCAATGAATGGAACTTTTTGGAAAAGAAATACATAACTGCTTCCATGTCCCACATGTATTTACTTTAGGAAAGTGGAACATGGAATGAGCCTCTGCAGCACTGTGTCCCTTGGACCACCAGAAATCTGGGATTGTCTATCTAGATAGCAACTCTGCTCCCAGCAGATTCTACTCCCAAATGGCCCCCCTAGAGTCACTCATAGTGGCAGAGAAGAAAGACTTAGCATGTTAGCAGTTTGTCTACCTATCTAGCCTCCTCCCTGGAGCTAGAATCTTCTTAAAGAAAGTTTAATTTTTATACATTCTTCTTCTTTCCCCGTGACAAAGTAACCAGACTTAATGTCTTGTGCAGAGCAAATTGTTATTAAATGGTCATTAATATTTTTGCCAAAATCAAGAAAATGATAAGCATTTCTTGGGCTTCGTATTATGTTAACAGCAGGAAAAAGTACAGTAGGTGAGAAACTGCCTTTAAAGAGTTAAACTTTAGACTAAAAGAGACTGATCACATAGGCATAAAAGAAAGCTGACAATTCTAGGCTTTACAGTGGGAAAAACTTAGAGGTTAAATACATTCCCAAGGGCACATAGCTGGAGAGTGATGGGACCTGCAGGCCAGCCCTGTCTAAACATAAAAGCACTTAGCTACTGAAGGCAGCAGGGAAGGAGTTCAGTACCATTCATCAAACTCCAGGCTCCAGCAAAAAGGTTTCTGAAAAATTAGTGTCAAAGCCTGAACTAGAATCTGGGCCTTTAACTTTGGGCTCAAATTATTGTAAGGTCTGGAAATTATTTCCTCGCCCCCACTTCCAAAAAGAAAAAAAAGGTCAAAGATGTCTGAATAATAGGCCCAGGGTTACTTTTCCTTGTTGCACGCTAACTCTTTCTCAAACCTTAACATGGTAACAGGTGTCCATTCTTTCCAGCCGGCCCTTTTTAATGATCTGTGTAAGTCAACAGTTCAACTGTCTTCAGAATCATGAAGGAGGGTCATGGGAGGCTTCTTTCAATCCTTCAGGAAGTTGACGGTCTTCAATCAACTCTCCCTTTTTTGTTAGCCAGTGTTTTAACACAATTTTTACTTATCGATAATTCTGACACCCCAATTTTACAGCAGCAAGGAAATTAGAACCATAAATAACTAAGACCCAAGACTCAGTTTCATTAGGAAAAAATCTCCCTGAGATATTTGCACTTTATAGCAGACCTTTTCATCAGTTTGCCAAACCTGCCCACACCTCCACCTCAGTGAGAGGGAAGCAATAGCCAGAGAGAAGCTGAGATATAAGATCACATGCCTGGTAGCAGAGCGGGGCAGAAGGGCTGCCCTGATTCCTGGAGGCTCTCCAAATCCCTGGAGCCTGTGCCAGTAGGGTCTGCTGCCTTCCCTGCACTTAGGTTCCCAGAGATCCCTGGGTATCCTTCTAACAAACCCACCTTTTAGTTTCAGGATCAATTTAATGGTCCTGAACAAAGACACCCTTGCTGGCCCCTCTCCATTTGTTGCTGGACCCCTTGAAAATAATGTGAGTTAGCTGACATCTTTGCCATGCTTCTCTAGCTTTAGGAGTTTACACACCTGTTTGAAGTAGTTACCTTATTTGGCTTCTATTTAATCATGACAAACTATATTTGGCTTAACTCACAACAGAATGTAACAGTAAGCCAAAGAGTAAACTACAGATATTTGTGCTCAGAAAATACTTTCTTCACTTATATATCTGAATTCTATCTCTAGCTACAAATAGTGAAGTACGAATAGCTAAAAAATTTTACTTGTTATTTATACATCAGTATATTCTGTTACCTTAGCACTTAAAAATCTGAGCTGGGAAAACCTTATGGACTAATTTAACTAATTTTACAAA